TGCACCAAAAGTAAAAAGCAATCCGTCAAATATATACAAATTATATCATTTTTATTAATTAGCTTTTTTAGTTTACAAGAACATGTTCGATAGACAAACGTATTTTTCAGGAATAGTCAGCCATTAGATTTTGAGTATGTTCTTTATTTTTTAAGTTTTTTTTCCTAAGAGTCTCAGATGCAAGATGGAATCCCTAATAATAAAGAAATATAAATACTGAGAATGATTTTTATTTTTACCCAATAATGTAACAATATTATATTTATTTATGGAGCAAAGTACGAGTCTAGCGAACTCAACGTTGTTTATATTGCAAATAAATATATTATTTTAGTTTAACTCTGTTCTAACGTTGCAGTTGAGTGACCGGATCATAAAAAAATATGCGATATCTTTCTTTATTCGAGACATTTTACAGGAAATATTTCGTTGGTATCCATAGAACCCACGAAGAAAAAAAATACTATTTTTTTTTTATCTCAAAACAATGTGATATTTATTTTTCCAGCGATCGGAATGACCCTCTTAACTGTTTCTGGCCACTTTTTTTTAATATCCACTATTCAGAAAGAAAAAATGCCAATAAGAGTATTTCGATGCAGATTTAACACATGAACGACATATGCGTTTAGTATGATTACTCGGGTTCGATAATTTTTACTTAAAGATGTTCTCTTTGAGGTGATAATCGTTAAGGATATTTCTCGGTTAGAATTATCACATTTCTATTTTGCTTTTTTTTTTTTTTTACAAAATGTACATTTTTTCGGTGTTTTCACATTGTAATATTAAATATTTTCCTATGGTAGTTTTAGAATTGTGATATCGATGTACAACGTCGCATTTGAAAATTGTACTCATTTAACATGATTAGTTATTAGAGAGAGAGAGAGAGAGAGAGAGAGTGCTGAAGATTTCTCATCCCTGACCATAACTGAAGATCTGACCAAATGATCAAATATCAGAATTTATTTTGGAACCCTTCTTTGGTGCGGCTCTCAAATATTTCTATATTCGATCATTGTCAGCGTCTATTTCAGCCAACATTTAGCATCGTCCATAATTGTCTTGATTCGAGCCGATGTGCTGATTGAGGCAAGGGTCGTCCCTTGTCGCACACATCACTGACGCCATTATTGACATGCAATACCCACCACGTAATCGTTCTAATATTTACTGTTTCCTCTCCGTAACATCCAGCGAAATGTCTATTAATGTCAACGGGTGTGATTTTATCGCACGGAGGAATTACAAGTCACACTTCTTTTCTGTACGCACTTTCATGTTAGAGTCCATTTTGCTACACAACAGTTCAGGTAAAAAAAAAATAGTTGATTGGTCGGAAGGTTCAACCTCTATCGCTATAACACTAAAATCCGCTTCTGACTTCATGTATCAATATAATAAAATAATTGGCATTTTTTGTAGAACAGCGTTTCTCTGTCGGTGTGTGTGCACGCGTGTAAATTTTATCAACCATGTCAAATATTTCAATTCTCGCATTCAAGAACCCATATTTGACTTCTTTTTTTACTCTGTTTTATGAATGTATTCTCTTCGTGTTACTAATTTTTCTTACACTTTATCCATCTGGCTAATGATAAATGAGACGGATTGACTGCGTCATGTCTATTTGTTTAAAGTCCATTTCTCTTTGACTCTATGAGAGAAGAATAAAATGACAGACGGCGTAAGGAAATCTCATGGAGATTTCATTATCTTTAACCCCTGCTGTTGGAATCTTTAATTTTATTTAAAGTCAATTGGTTGAGTTGGAAAAGCAATTACGACAGTCTATCTATGCATAACTTAATGAAACTGAATTAACAACAGCAGGCGTCCCATTCACTATGGAAATGTATTAGTTATTTCTGCTACTGAATTGACCATTCGATATTTAATAACGACCTTCTTATTAAATACTAAACAATTCTTTGAACGCCCAACTTCATTTTTATTGGGTTCCAAAGAATAATTAATTTGTACCATCATATTTCGTGTAAATATCAAATTAGACTATTACATGAATTATGTGAATTCATGACTTAACAAATGTTGCTTAAAAAATATAAATTATTAAAGCCTTAAGTCCTTGTATAAAGATGCCTCATTAGTTAAGCAAATTATAAGCCTAAAAATCTTTGAACCTGATATATTTGTATTCTCTTTTTACATCAGTAATTTAAAAGAATCGAGTTTTAATTGGTCCAAATGATAATAATAATAAAGTCAGTTTCTAGCCTTTGCTACTTCATTCTCTTCAAATAGGACACAGTGATACTCGCCTTTTATGCACATTTAGGAAACATATATTTCCATTAAACCTACGCCCATCATAATTGTTTACTTCGTATTTACAATAAAGAACCGTTGAACGGGGTGGGGTGGTTTTATGAATCTTTTTTTCCAATCCTTGGCACCTAAACCTTTGGATAATTTGCCAGTTATTACTGGTTTCCCAACCTGTGTTTTTCCAAAATATCCACATCTCTGAAAACTATGAATAAAAAAAAAATCCAATATAAAAATGGAGAAAATTGTTCTGGATCTTTTCCAATTTAGAGAAAAATTTTCTTGATGTGTTGTGTTCTCCTACGACTCCAAAGGAAATGACGAGCCTGGTCAGTACCTAGATGTGTGACCGCTTGGGAATACCAGGTACTGTAAGCTTGGGTGTGCGAGTGGTGTAATGGATAATGGCTCAGAATTGGAAATTGGAGAGCCGAGATCTAACTCAATTCAGGTTCGTTATATCAATTTACACGCAAATACTATTGGAAAAGGTATGAACCCATCTTTCTTCCCCCCAGTTATGGTTTAAGTAGTAGGACTTATCAGTAAATCATTACCTCAAAAACATTCTTGCAATCTAAACTATTTCCGGACTTTAAATAACCAGCAAAAGGTTGATAAGCCGTAAATTACAAATCAGTCAATCAATAAATTCAAAGCAAATGAATAAATGGCCAATACATAAATTCTAAAGATGATACGCTCATGATTGATCCTACTTCAGCGACTTAAATCTTTCAGAGATTTGAGCTTGATCTGCCAATTTATTTTTATTTGTTTGGCTACCAAAGCAAAATATTAACTTCATTGTTTCATTCAAAGAAAGCAACAGTGGTCACTCCGCCTACCTGCTAGTAGTTTAACTAAATAAATGTTAAAATGTCACAACCCTCCATACAAGTCTTGCCAAAACGTATTTTAAATATCCGGATATTCGTGAGACACCAAATCCTGCTGAAATTTCGTCGACTTTTTATGTCATAAGCGGTGGTAAAGATTTACTTTTATTGATTGTTGAATAAAACATTGAAAATAATAGAAAAAAAATCTGAAGACTTAGTGTGGATGGTTATATGAACAAATGCCGTTTGCTATTGTCTGGAATGCTTTTTCCTTTGTTTTATAACATATTGTATATAGCTTTCTGTAGTGAATTATTAGATATAATGAAATGATGAGAGGTCAACAGTTCAGGTGCCTGTATGGTTGATATTTGGTACCAAGAAAGGAAACAGTTAAAAATATTTGCTTTGTGATGAAACCCTTTCAAAAGATTGATGTTAAACTATTGCCAAGCACTCTTAACCGTAAATATTCAGGTTTCTATATTCAAAGCAAAGTGATAAAAAAAGTAACTGAATAGATACTATTGAATTGTAAACATGCTAAATAATATCTTATAAATAGAAACAAATCTTAGTTCTGTGCAAATAACTGCAACAAATCTTCCGTGAAATTGTTGACGAGTACAGAAAAAAGAATGAGATAAACGTTTTATGACCGTGAAGCATACAGAAAAAATACGATTGCAAAAAAAAAAAAAGTGATGTAAAATGTTATTTTTCAGAAAACAAGCTCTGTTAAAAACACCATTAGGAAAATTATTATTAATGAAAAAAAGACCATTTTTTAATATATAGCATTTAAAGGAAGTTTCAAGAATGGAATCATTGTCAATGTAAATAATCTTTTCATATTCACTTTTGTTACGAACTGTCATAAAAATCATCATTTTTTATTGAACATAAGGAAGTTGATTTATTCTACTTCCGTCATTTATTGTTCAGCTTCTAATTTGCGAGGTACGTCAAATCTGTACCAAGATGTATTAACATCAGCTTTTTTTCGGATACACTTCTTGTAGGAATTCATGGTTTTTATTTTCCAATAGAGTATATCAGATAAAAATAGAGAATCCAAATTGTTCACTATTTTATCTGGAGCAACATTTTACCGTTATGCATTAACATCAGCTTAGCTACAGCCAGAGGCAAAAATCAAATGTATTTGACCTAGAAACACCCGACAGGGTTAAACGTCTTGTGTGATTTCAAAGTTTTTCCTTCTCCAAGACAGTTTTCTAACCACGAAAGACCAGTCTGACTTGCAAAATAGAGCAAGAATAGATAGACCCAAGCCTTTAGCGAACTTAATACAAATCGTTTCAAGCGAAATTTCTGCGCTTTTAGACATTAAACCACCACAAGCGTCAATCTTTATTCATACCTAAAAATATTAATATATTTCCCAACTCAGTATGTTGGACTCTTATTGATATTTAGGGCTGATATAGTATTCATAGTACAGTGCGGACTAATGCAACAATTTTTAAATTTCATGAAATTCCACATTCAAGGCCTAATGTCTTCAAGTAATCAGTATCTGAACATTATTGTTTTTGTCTCTCCTCTGACATTTCTGGTTGATTGTGTTTTTGGTTGTTTTTTTGTTTTTTGTTTTTTTTTTTTCTTCATCGTCATATCAACATGCCAAAATCTAAATATTTTGTCGGCAATTCTATTTTTTGGAGATAATAATGTTTTTTTGGGGACAAGATTTACTAAGTAACTCATAGCTGGGGGGATAATAGGTGGATTCATAACATTCCCATTGGTATTTGCGTCTAAGTGAATATAACGATTTCAACTGGAATTGGAATTTGGCTTTCCGATTTACAATTCCGATATATAAGCCGCACGTACAAGCTTACAGAATGTAGTATTCTGAAGCGGTCTCCCATCTAAGTACTGACCAGGCTCGACTTTGCTTAACTTCAGTGATTGTACGGGAACCAATGTTTCAATGATGTGACCGTAAACCTTCTGCCATTTCTGGAAATACCAATAAATTAATCATTTTTCTTGTAATTATCCCATAAAAGTAATTTGATAATTAATCTTACCTGGAGACAAAAATACTGCTGATATTTTTTACGTTTACAAGGAAATATTATAAGTTAATATGACAATCGGTGAATGAACAGTTTTTGATCAAATCAATCACTTAACCGTGTCTACCATAAAATCTTTGATTTCATTTTTAAAATCAATTGTTTTATTACGTAACCGCGGGTAAAATGTAGAGGATTATATAGCAAGCAGGTAAGAAGAGAGATTCACTCCGTTAATGGGAACTGGATACGATGATTTTATATAAGTATCACAAATTAGTGATGGTGAAATGTATTCTTCATTTTTACAATGGTTAAGTAAATGGATAAGCGGTACTGATATTGATATTAGAAATTGTGCATCATCTTACAGGATATATTACTTTGTAAGAGATGCTGATGACAAGTTCATGGCCAGAACAAGGAACCACTCAAAATAATTCTGTTTAACAGGAATTTTCAAAATGGGACGGACTGAAATTTCACCATCACTCAGAATAAGATAACTTTGAAAGAAACTCAACAGAACAGAAGTAGATTAGAAAACATTGAATATATTCTATTCACTTATATGTGCAAAATTCAATAATAAGATAATTATTTTGCGAATAAAAATATTTCATTTATTTCGTGTAACATAATATGTGATGGAACAAAACCCAGAAAAAAACGCCTAGAAGGATCAAAAGATGTGTCCCTATAATAAAATATTCGCAAATTTTGTTTTTAAATGATTGAATATATATATATATATATATATATATATATATATATATATAGATAGATAACTAGACTCGTTTCGAAAAACCCCTGATACGAGTAACAACTAACTAACAAAAGAGCTCAATACAACCGTAGAGCAGACCTAGATACACCTAGTGGGCCAGACAAACCTACCTACCCGGATCCGTTTAGGTGAAACCTATGTAGGTTTGTCTGGCTCACTATATATATATATATATATATATATATATATATATATATATATATATATATATATATATATATATATATATATATGTATGTGTGAGTTCTCCATGTTTTTAAATCAATTAGTGGACAAATTTACCCTAGAAATGACCAGTCCTCGCATATTTAAAAAGTATTTTTAAAGTGTTTATTAAAAACACACAAATATAGTATATATTTAAACACATACACATTATTTATATATATATATATATATATATATATATATATATATATACACTAATGTGCACACATATGTGTATTCATATATAATTGTTTGTGGAAATGCATCTATTGAGCTCTCAATTTCTAGGTTAATCACACTCTCCCCTATATGTATGTAAGCCTTAAGATTTCGTTCAAGTATGAAACAGATTGTCGCTAGTCGTTGTTGATATTGTGACCACTCGTATTTAGACACGCTATATCCTGGATATTGAGAACTTTTACCCATAAATATTAGATTAAGTGTATTTAAATGTGTTTCTAGTGTAAAAAAAGGGAAAAAGAAAAGAAAATAACTAAGAAACCTACTAGGGGGAAACAAAAGAATTGCAATGCTTAAAAAACGATAACAGAAAAATCCAATCCAAAATGAGTGCAGGAATATAATCAGAATAAGAAGAGAATCAGCTGAAGGTGGCGATGCGTGAAACTTAGTCATGATAAGAATCTCTCTCATTTCTGTTTACACATACACGCACACTTATATATATATATATATATATATATATATATATATATATATATATATATATATATATATATATATATATATATATATATATATATGCTCAGAGAGAGAGAGAGAGAGAACAGACAGACAGACAGACAGACAGACAGACAGAAGGACAGATATGATTCCATTGCCAGATGCGTTATTTAAATTTAATCTGAAATTGTCAATCGGAAATATTAGATTAATTGATAAGGAAGGACATTATGTTTAAAATAATTATTTGTTGTCTTAAACACATGCACATACACACACATATACATATATATATATATATATATATATATATATATATATATATATATATATGCACACTAAAAAGGGGTGTGTTTATAATTTTAATGTTTTTGGTTATTTTAACCGCTATGTTATATCCCAAATCATTTTACCCTTTCGATATGGTGATATGTCATTGTCGCTTTTATCTGTAACAAGTTAAAGTCAGTCAGATGTTTAGTATTTAACGAAGAACTTCAAAATCTTCGTTTTTTACATTTAAAATTTACATCAGAATAAAGAATACAATAACAAATAAACTACAAATCACGTTGTTACTAAACTTTGATATTAACTCATTGACATAGACAGTTTATTTAATATTTTATTTGAATAAGTCTGTTGATATTATTGCAAAAACTATAAAAGTAAAATCACTAAATCATCTTTCCTTACAAAGATTAAGCTCAATTCGCTATACATCATGGCATCCAACTTAAGTGAAGGTGGGATAGCCATGAAATAAAAACCACGATTCCTAGCTTACATTCTCTCCGTAAAGAGGGTCATACACATTACCAAAAGCTGCATTAATACCACTTTTAAAGACTTTAATATGGTTTATGTCTGGCGAAACGCTATTGCCACCAGCAGAAAATACATTATTTGATGACAGAAGTAAAAAAAATAAGCGCTCCTAAAAAAAAGACCAACCTGCAGTTCAACGGTGCGACCGTTTTGAAACGTCTTCATGAATTAAGTCTAAAATCAAAGAAAAAGTTTATCTCTTTTGTAAACGTTGAAATCCTTTATGAGATGAATTTGACTAATTATTATGATATAAATACTTTCCATTGTTGTCTTGAGCTTCTAATAATTGTTCAAAAATATCATCCTGTCTATTTGTTCTTCGAGTGAATTAAACGAGAAGAAGAACATATCACTTCAAGACATGTCTCTTAATAAATACTCAGTTAAATCGTTAAAGGATTAATGGAAATAGAAATACACACAGCGAGAAACCAATTGAAAATTTGAACAGAATAATTTCATCCTTACAATTCGAAATACATAACACGCCAAGATGTCTTGAGTTCATCAAAATAGGCTTTTCCCTAGTGGAATTGATGAAATACAAAGAATCCATATAGATATATTTCTTATTACGATAAACAGTATATTTAGTAGAGAGACGAATTTGAGTAGATAGCTTTTTCCTTTAAAAATAAAACAGTTTTCAAGGCTGGCCATTCGAAATTCTTATAATGCGCCTCTCCCCAGGAATGACCCTGTGTTCCCGTGACTTTGAGTAAACCCCATTTAAGCCATGTGTGCTCTAGACAGTTGTTGTGAGAGGCCTCACAACAAACCATTACTCTATTTAAGAAATACACAACTCTCTTTGGGACCTTTCCGTGTCTATATATGCTAACAATGTTTTCCTATCAGAAATGCAAAGAAAATTCTAAGATTGTTTTATAATGTAGGATTTTAATATAATTGCATAATACCTTAAAATAATTACATAATACCTCATAACTACCTATATTTCAGGGACGTACTGTCTAGGTAGGTAATCTAGGCAGTGCTTAGCCTGAATAAAATAGATCAGTACGTACATTTTCATTTTGTGACACAAATTGCACCTCATCCAACAAAATTCTAATGGTAACTCTGTATAAAATGTAGAATATTTTATTGCTTTGGTAGATTTACTACATAAACGTCAAAAGCTGCCTACAGAGTAATTACTGACGTCGCGTGCCTTATATATATATATATATATATATATATATATATAAAGAAATAATCATACATAGAATCAATCAGCCATATTAATGCGATTAATCGTGAAATCACTTCGCTAGTAGAACATAATGTATGCATTAAAATACTGTTAATCCATTGAATGATGTGATCCTCATTTATAAAACTGTTGTCAGATATTTATATATATATATATGCTGCTAATTTATATATATATATATATATATATATATATATATATATATATATATATATATATATATATATATATATATATATAAAGGGTATACAACAATACGTTTACAAACTTTGGGGTTCCTCACACCAAAAAATTTCCATGCAAACATATATCCCCAAATCCTTCGTTTTTGAGTTATTAAGTTTAAAGTTTAAGGTAGACGCTTTTAAATGTACAATTGTTCTTCGTGCCATAGTTTATGGTGACACGGATCCGGTCTCAAAAACGTGATAAACAACAGATGATTCGTCTGCCTTCGGTCTGGAAACACAATCTGATACAACAGTGCAGGCTCGCATATATTAACAGTCGCGCGGCCGTATGTAAAAATCATATCTACCTCCTCACAATATAAATATCCTCCAATTGTTAAACGGGACAATTCTCAGTTAACTCTCTGCTACACAAGTTAATCGTTGAAGACAGACTGTCCACACATATACGCGAGTGGCAAATGTAATCTAGTCCATTTGGCAACACAGCACCATCTACTGTAGACTTTCTTTAAACATTCTAAAAATAATTATTTGTGCACTCATTATTTTAAAAATATCCAATTTTTTTTAATTTCTTCAGATAAATTATGAACAAACGGCTATTGTAGATTAATGTAAGCAGACTCCTTCTTTCGTATACCACTAACGTGCCAGTTGTATGCACATGCGCAGAGAACATGGAAGAACCACGTGAAAGAAGTTTGAATTGTTAAGACTGAGTGAGCGTAAAAGTAAAAAAAAGGAAAAAATGCTGCTTCTTGCTTTCAACATAAACGAACGCGTACTGATAGATTTTACAAAAGAAACCGACGAATTTGGACATTAAAGTCAACACCCACCGACGATTTCAATGTCCACTTTTATATATATATATACGCTATATCCTTGATATTGAGCACTTTAATCCATAAATATAGCATTCTTAAAAACTTTTAAAAATCTTATCATATATATATTTATATAGAAGAGATCGCACACTGAGTACTAGCGTTAATAAAATAG